TTGTGTGTCCTCCCAAAGGAAGTACTTCCACAGGTGCCTTACCAGGAGACCACCTTTCCAGTTTTAATAGAAAAACAGATGAAAATCCAAACACAGGATAACATTGCAATTAGTGGAGGCAGGTGTATGTATTTTGCAGAACTTTTATTCCATGAGAGCAAACACTGCAACTTTTTAACTCATTCCTCTCTCCTCAGAGAGCAGACAGCGCTTGTTGATGCAGAGAAATCACTGAATAACTATTTGTTGAAAGAATACATAAGGGGATGGCTGTGAGAAAAGCTAGCGCCCAACGCTTCACTTAATTTTAATCTCTGAACTTCATTTCTTCAGCTCTAAATAATTCCTACCTTTCAGGGATAGTAAAAAAAGCAATCAGAGAGGTTATGTCTGTAAGAAAGCTCGGAATATAGGCTCGGTAAACAGCCATCATTGTGATCGCGTGGCCCTACACATTGCTGGAAGCAGGCACATCAATTTGTCCCTTGGAGAGATCCATACAAAGGCCTCAATGTTCTCCACCAATTTTCAGAATGACAATTAGATTCAGGAGGACAGCAAATTGATGCTTTTGATTCATGGGATTTGGTGCATGTCAAATCCTCACGTGACTGTGGTCAGCAGCCCCTCTCGATGTAAAACTTTCCCATCAGCCTGCGGAGGTAGCCCTTCATGGGAGAGCCTTTCTAGAAAGCAACGTGACTGCGCATAGGACGAGCTTAAACTCTTTGGTCCTGTGATTCTCCTGCTGGGGTTTGTCATAAAGAAGGAACTGCAGGTGCAGTCACGGATGTGTGCACTGCACTATTAATCACATCAGCGTTCCTAGGTAGTCAATACTACTGAAAAGCCTCTTAACATCCAACAATATGGTAAATTCAATGGATGCTTTGTTACACAGCCATTAAAAATCATGACATGAAAAATGCTTGGGATAGTTTGTAAAGTTAAAAAAATAAGATACAATACTCTATTCTTATATTACCCCTATTTTATTTGTAGAGCATATTAATATATGCTTAGATAAATGACTAAAATGGTTGTACAGCAGTACAATTATGAGCAATTTTTATTTATTTCACTTTTTTCTGTAGCCAGCATATTTTCACAGAAAAATCATTTGTTAATAGACAAAATGTGTTTAGAGCCTATATTATAGAAATCATAAGGGTTTAGAGAAGGTTATAGTATCATCTTAATGTATAGATGAGTGAGGTTCTCCTCACTTTCCCTAAATTTGAGGGATCTTAGACTGAAGAAGCCCCAATGAAAAATGCATCCTGAGATGTTTAAGCCTTATCTGACATATTGGCTTGGAAATATCATAATGTTAAAATGACACCAGGGGAAAGGACTTTATGCTGTTAAATGATTTGATGATGGCGATACTAAAGCATCCATCAGAGAACTATTTTGGAACATGGACATTTGGAGTATGCTCCAAATAAGCCTCCAGGACAGACATTGGAAACAGTTCACCAAACAAATCTGTGTTCTTTCTTGGGCACATGAGACTTCTTTTGTCATTTGGGGTGGACATATTAACTGATTTCTAACTAACAAAGTGATAGTGGAAATGATGCATACTACTTCAAAGCCTGGCCCCTAAACACCTCCCATTCCCACTTCCCAATGCCCTTTTCCTCCTTCAGAATGAGACAGAGATATTAGAAGGCACATGTTGAAGATAGCCAAGCTGCCATTAACCTCTCTCCTTCACTGACTCTGAGAGAATAGCCATCAGCTAATCTGTTTATCCACCCAAGTCTGTTAGATGAGCAAGAAGTAGACTACATTCTTTTTAATTTGTTACATATTAAGGGGCCACTTTTTTACAGCAACTAGAGATAACCTACCTAATGCAGTCACATGGTCTGTCACATACACTTTGCTGTGCACATGGCCTGGCCAAGTTCATTCTTGATGAAGAGAAGGAGAAACCACTATTGTGGATAAACCATGCCATGAAAGGAATGAGGGGAAATGTTAGAGGATAGTCCATCTGTACCATTTTTAAAATCACTGGAGTCCTGTAGAATTCAGTTAATTTTTCTCATATGAATGTAGTAAAATGCATTGGTTGCCTATAAGAATTCAAACCACACTTTCTGGATTATTATTTTTATCATCGTTTGCCTTTTTTAGTCTTTCTTCTTCGATTTAGATACAGGTCCCATAAGGGAAAGACCTTTGACTTGCTTATTGCTGATGACCCAGTTCCTACAAAAATATCTAGAATAATAAGTGCACAGAACATACTGGTTGAGGATGTAAATTAATGTAATGAATGTGAGATGGATAAAGACAAGTTCACCCAGTGAGACTTACTACCCTCGAAAACTGACCAGGAGCTTTCAATTGGCACAGAAAGGATTTTTGTCCAATCTAGACATGTGATAAAACATAAAATGAATACATACAAGACAGCCAATTTCTAAATTTTATTTTACATTATAAAATATATTCATCAAATGCTTCTAGAGACCAAAGGCAGTTGACAAATTAGCTGAGAGCAGATGTCTCTTCACTCCCCGGCTTCACCTCTTGCTGGCACCGCTTATAGCTGTGGCAGGCTTCCAGCTCTGACCTTGCACAAATTCATCACCTGATGGCAGAGAGCCACCCATTGGCTGCTCTCTTCTCACTATCCCAAGCAGGTGGTGCTGAGTTAAATGGCCCATAAATCATCATTTGCATGTGTAAGAGGATCTAACTATGAAGTGCTTATTTGCTTTTAAAATTGGTTCTGTTGCTGCCAACTAGATAGAATCATTTAGTCAAAATTTTGGAGTGATTAGTTACATGCATGGTGTTCTTCTTTTCTTGAGTTATCTGTCCATTGTTCATTCCGTTATGTATTAGTCAGGATTCCCCAGAAAATCAGAACCAATAGACGTATATATGTACAGAGAGAATTTTATTTTAGGTAATCGGCTCACATAGCTGTGCAGGATTAGCCAGTCCAAAATCTGATGGGGGAGACAGACAGGCTGGAGGCTCAAGAAATAGTTGCAGTTCAAGTTCAAAGGCAGGCTGCTGTACAACAAGGAAGAGCTGATGTTGCACATCACATCCAGAGGCTACTGCTAGAGAATTCCTTCTTGCTCAGTAGAGGTAGCCTTTTGTTCTATTCAAGCCTTCAACTGATTAGATTAGGCCCACCCACACTATGGAGGACAATCTGCTTTAGTCAAAGCATACCTATTTAAATGTAAATCCAAAAACAACCTCATGGAAACACCCAGTATAATGCTTGATCAAACACTTGGGCATCATGGCCCAGACAAGGTGACATGAAATTAACCTTCCCAGTTTACTTGCTAGATTTTTTCTCATTTGTTTTTACTTTTCTTTCTTTGAGGACTGGGGTCATCGGGGTCATTATTTCTACAGGGTTCATCTGCTCCAAAGCTTGCGGTGACCCAGGCAGTCCCAAATTCACCTTTCAGCTCTCCCAGTGCATAGCTGAGTTAACAGTGCTTTACCCACAGAGCTTCCAGTTGGTTCCGCCTCTATGAATGGAGATACCCAAGTCACAGGCTTACTATAACACGTAACTGGGAGAAATATACACAGACAAGCTCTCTAAACACAAGTTTCTATTGAAATTATTATTTAAAATTGTGTTTATAAATCAGAAGTCTTATCTTTCAAACAAATGAATGAGAAAATAGAATTTTCTCTTGTGAAGCACAGGACAGTTGTAAGTGGCTTATTGGAATAAAGAAAGATTGAATTAATAAATCAACTTTATTTCTAAGTGGGAAATGTGAGGGTTAAGAGAAGATCTAAGGACTACACCAGATGATTACTGAAGATCCCAGGAACAGAGTCAAACTTAAAGCTCACAGAATATTTATCCCTAAAGTCAATGATGTTAACACACCCCAATTCTGCTCCAGTGAGTCCTGGGAGAATACCAGGTAGTTTGGAGGTCCTGTGATGACTGACCCAAGGGAGCTCGGGTTAGATGGGACTGTCCATGAGAAGCTAATACAAAGGACTAAGCAAAGCTCATCACTTTCCCATCTCAGTGCACAACTAACATCCCACATGTGATTTAATGTTGGACTATCACATGATCGCCAGTCTCCACTGCCCCAGGGGTCTCTACTCCTCAGGTTCCTGGGCAGACTGGTCACATAACTACCAAGAGTGGAGGAAGCTTGGCCCTCACCTCCATCTAAGGTCTGCTTGTTCCATTCTCATGTTCCTCACCAAGACATTCGTCTTCCAACATATAAGATTTCAGTTCCGTTTTCAGAAAAATGTCCAATGCACTCTGAGAGGGGTAGCCTTGCCCTAGGGTCCCACCAGGTCAAGAGTCCAACATTACTGACCATGTTCCAAGGTCAATATCCATGAGTTTTTAATAACTCTGTCCGTGAAATAAAGGTAGGAATTCACTACCTTCAGGCCTGTTTCTTTTCAGACCTCAAGAAATTAAGAAAATTGTGGGTCCTGCCTCATTCAAGCTCACTCATTTCAAACCAAGTTATTATACATGTCAGAATGAAATGTTACCACAAATTAGTAACTACTCTGGGTGGAAACTTCTTAGGCCAGGCCACCTTTGACTCAAATGGAGCACCCATTTTCTCACCAAGCTAAAGATTCTGTGGGTCAGCAAATCTCCAGAGGACACAGCACCAAGCAAAGACTCTGTCAAGCATCTTGCAATCTGAAAAACAATATAACTGCCTCTTACCTCTTTGATAGTAAGCATATGTGCTCTTACAAGCAGCAACGTGTTTTCGAATGTGCCAGACTAGCTCTGACATTTATGTGCAATGATTTTTACACCTGCAATTTTTTTTTTGTTCCGTGAGAACTGAGACAAAGACAACTTTATAGTTGTGCCTTTATTCTCTCTGTAATAATGGCTACATGGTTAACTTACTTGGTGCCGCTTTACACAGTAGTCAGTTCGGTTTAAAAATGTGCAAAACATTAGTTTTATGAACACTCTGTTCATATTGCTTCTTTACCACTTTCTCCAGGAATGCCCCAGCGGTGTTGTGAATGAAGAAACCTTCAAAGAGATTTACTCACAGTTCTTTCCGCAGGGAGGTAAGTACGAGTGTGGACTTGTTAAAGCACTCTCACTTAGAATTATGCTTGCAATCTTTTTTTCCCTCCCACTTGGTGCTGCGCCGGCCTGGGGGGAGGGGAACGCAGCTACCACACAGTCCTTTCTCTCACCCTTCACTACACCCTTTCTTGGTCTCTGGGGGACAGTGGGAGCTTCAGCCTCATCCTCATGTTCTAAGATTTTCTCAGTGGTTTGGGCTCATCAATAATTGTTCATCATTCTTTCTGCGAGGAGGACCAATGCTGGCATTGACCGATGTGGCGGTTTGCTGAGGTCAACCTGAGTGTGTGTTGCTCTTGTGTACTAACACCTCGCTGAACTACTTATGCTCACAATCTTGACTTTGCTTTTATCTTTTACAGCATGGCTTTACATCTTTAATCATTATGTCAAAGAATTCATGTACAGCATGCAAGGGCATATACTGTTCAATATATCATAAAAGTAAACTGCTTGCGAAGTCCCGCCTATCCACAAGTTTGCTCTTCAGTTCAACAGGGCAAGCAATGTTGCCGTGTGCCTAGTGTGGTGGTTCTCAAATGCACCAGGGCTTCTGACCGTGACGGCCTGGTCCCGGGCTTCAGCCGTTTCATCTGATTCTGATTCTCCTGACTCTCAAAATTAGGACAAATGTAATTATCCTCCATTTACAGATGTGAAATCTGGGGCTTAGAGAAATTAAGTGGCCGCCTCAGGGACACACATCCATTAAGTGGCAAATCCGGGTTAGAGCCTTCTTTGGAGTGAGTGTCCCACAGTATTCGCTCTGCTGTTTCTCTGCTTCTCAGTGACTCTTTGCTATGACAACCCGCACCTGAGAAAAATGAATACCACTCTAGATATTGTTTTATTTAGAAAGAAAACAGGATTCCAAAATGATAAAAGGTACATGTTGAAGATGAATAAAGAGATATGCTGGCCACTGAAACTTTTTATTTCTCCTTTAAGCACCCATCACACTGTCCAGCTCGAATTGGTCCCACAGCTTACTGTATGCCCAGCTACGTGTTAGGTGCTGGTAATGTAAAAGGATTAAGATGTGATACCTGCCCCGCAGCATCTGCCCCAAAGCATCTGCCCCATCTGCCCCAGTCCAGTGCAGCAGATGGACACTATCGAAATAGAACAGAGGTGTGGGGAGAGAGGGTTGGAAAACGCCCTTTGGGGAGCACAAGGTAGGATGAGCACAGCAGCTGAAGAAAAGGCGGGGAATGAAAAGGAGGCCGTGCAGGCAAACGGGACCTCAGCTGACGGAGCCACCCCTGACCAGGTGTCTCACAGGGGTCGGAGGGAGGCATGCATCCCTCCTCACCTTCCAACCACCCTAGAAAAGATTCTCCCTTTTTAACAAGTCTGGAGACTAAGGTGCAGCGGGGTTCATCCGTTTTCTTCCTAACATCTTTTTCACTGATGTCCACCTAAAGCATCCCACATCATGTCCTGTCGAATTAACTCAATAGTCTCTGAATTCATCCCTCTGCTTCAGACTTTCCTCACCGCTTCCCTCCCAGGGTCTGTTCTCAACACCAGCCCAGTGGTCCTGCTGGAGCACGTCACGGCTGTGCTCCAACCATCCAGCCCCTGGGAACAGCAGTCACACCCACGCAGAGACCTACACGTTGTGGTCCCATGTCCCCTGTTCCCTCCCTGCCTCCTCCTTCCCCACCCTCCCTGTGGACTCACCAAGTTTCAGCCACACCAGCCTCCTTACCATCCCTCCAACATGGCTGTGGTGCTGCCGCTTCTGGCCTTTGAAATAACTGTTCCTTCCACCTGGAAGTCTCTTTCTCCAGTCCCCATCTCAGTGCTGCGCCACCTTAAACTTTATCCAAATGCCACCCTGGCTTAAACTGCAGCCTCTTAAATGTTCCCCATGCCCCTGCCCTGCTTTATGCTTTGCTTTAGCCTCAAGAGCCACTCCTACTATACGCTATTTAACTTAATTTTTGTTATTGCTTATTGTTCTTCCCCCCACTAGAATGCCATCTCCGAGGGAATAGAGGTCTTTTGTCTGTTTTGTTCATGCTGTTTCCACAGGTCGTGGCACCATGACCGACCAGAAACAGCACCGGGCAGACCCTCACTGTATAAATGACTATGTCCACCTCACGTGGTGGCTGTAACGATACCATAATATCTGTAACAGGCACTTTGACAGTTTACAACACCTACGTAGGTGTTGTTTCACACAAAAATTACGTTCTCTCTCAGTTTTCAACACAATTGGTATTAGATATTTTGATCAATTGAAATGATTTTGTACACGGATGATCAAAATAGAAATTTTCATTTAAAACAGACTTTAAAAGAAGTTCATTGGAATTAAGTTCTGCATGACGGATTATGATATGAATTCAGACACGTCATGGCTGATACCTCCCCTGACCCATCTCATCACTAAAAGCCCACAGATAGGTACCACACACGAAGCCAGATCCCCTTGGGTCCAATGTCCGCATCGCTAAAGAACTTGGGATGTCATTTGATTAACTCACAGATTTCTAAATTATTAAAATGAAATTCTTTAAGAAAAGTTATGTTTATTGTATATTTAAGTCTCTCTCAACGTATTTATAGGCAATAATATCAAAGCACCTAGCACAAAAAAAATCTTTATTTTTTAATCATCTCAAATGAAAGTTATTACATGCTACGAACTAGACACAGTTCCAAATTAAAAACTTATCTTTATTTGAGAAATAACATTTTGGCATTAAAGAATATCTACATTCCTTTGCAAAGGATTCTTGTTACAAAATCCAAAGGGATTTGGAGAAAAATTACTTTTGTACTCTTAAAAATTCTTTGATTATTCATGCTAATGGAATGCATAAATCAAAAAGTACAAGGTATAATAAATAAAAGAAATGAAATAGTTTAGAGAACAATGACTTGCCATTAAAAAATTGATATCATGCATGCAAATTGTACCTTGAAAGCAGAATTCACCATGAATGATGCCTCAGAACAAACAATATTGAGAATTTTTTTAATGTACAAATGTGAGCAGATACAATTACCATTCTTCCTAAATGCATCTGCTCTCGCTTTAAAGATTGACATGGGGGGCACACCCTCTAGGTTCTCTATTGTGGTTCAGAGGACTTCTGGTTCTTCTCAATGTACCTTGGCAGTTCTCCTGGAAGTTAAACCTGTTTTCCAGCCCTGGTACACTGTGCAGAGAGCAATTGTTAATAATGTAGTGGAGTCAGACTGCCTGAACTTGAATTTCAGATCTACCAAATATTTCCTGCATATTACCTGTCATTAAAAAAAATTGATATAATGCATGCAAATTGCACCTTAGCAAGCAGAATTCACCATGAATGATGCCTCAAAACCTGCTCTCCCAAATATTACCCGCAGTACTCATAGAAAAGAGAAAAAGACCTCAGGAAGAACGTCATCTCAGTGTTAGGCAAATTCACGTTGTGGCCACCCTCACACTCCCGTGAATCCATTGGTTTAAGTTGCTGATCCGAAAGCCACACGTTTATCTTCTTATGAGCAGTAACAGGGATGGCTCCATAAATCACAATGTCTCCCCATTTCCTCCAGGAAGATACTTTGTCTCATCTGCAGAACCTCCTGCAGTTTATTTTGTGTAAGGCTCTCAGTTTTCTCTCTTGCCTAGTGAGATGGCTTACCAAGCACGCTTGTTAGGTGTTCTGGATGTCGGCTCAGCCTGGTGGAACAGAAGCTTCTCGTGAGGCAGGGACTAAGTCTGCCCACTGTAACACAAGCTGGGACGATGTGGTTTATTGCTGCCCTTACCTGGGTCATGGCAGCAGTACTTTCTCAACCTCACGTACAGTGGAAGCTTGAGTATGGGTGCTCTTAGCTCACGAAGCATTTGCAAAGCTCATAAAAATTGCCATTTCCTGGGCTACTTCTGCTTTGGTTGTAAGAATTTTGCACTTACTTTGACTATACAAAGCACCCGATAAACAGCTACTGAAGGAACAAAAGAATGAGCTACAGTCAAAAGATTCTAAGTCAACAAACATTGAGCAGCCACTGTGTTCAAGCTACTCGAGGCACTTAGATGGGTTCAATGGACATAAACTTTTTTTTATTTTTAAAATAGCTCCATCACTGAATATCTAGGACAGTATTTGTAAGAATTTTCTGGGTGATTTATCAAACAGAAACAGCTATTTGTGTGTATGAATCTGAACCTGGCTTGCCATAGCAACAGTGCTATGCACCATGAACTATATATTCAGATGCACTAATTCCATGCATTGTGCTTCAGTTCAGGTATGGAATGGGGATCTGTGGGGGGAAGAAAGAAATCAACCAGACTGAGTTCAATCCTCAGATCTGACACATCATCATCTAATATTCTGAACTGAATGTGCATGGATAGATTTTCAATGAAGGTGTTAATTGATATTGTCACTGGGGTCTGGAAATAATTGAGTTAAGGACACTGGACTAAGTCAAGAGTCCTGAATTTGTGGCTAGACAATGCCGCCTCGCAGGCATGTTATCCAAGTGGTTTATTTCTCTGGGGCTCAGGTCGTTTCTCTTTGAAAGGTGGAAAAACATTTTTACAGCCCCTATAAAACGTAGAACAAAGTATCCTTGGTTTTATTTCTACTCTAATAATCTTTATTTTAAGAGCTGGTTCTGAGATATCTTGATTGTATTGTTGACTCTGCCATTAACTAACTAGGTTATCAGAGCTGAGCCATGAGAAGTACCTGCACTTCTTTCTCACCTTTGTTAATGACACCCCTTCCAAGCCTAAGTACCGGTCCATTCTGAGACCTAACTGTAAAATTTCAACTTCACAAGTAAAATGATAAAAAATGGAGGCAATCTGGGCAGATCAAACTCAGTAACTATATTTGTTACATGTAAGGAAATGTGAAAAATAAGGGAGAAGAAAGAGTACTGTTATGTCTTCTAAGGCCTGAACTGTGCTGAAATCCAGACTCCATCCTGTTTTTCATCCTGTTAGCAGATACTCACTGAGCATCTGAGAAAAGCACAGTCAGGTGGAACCAGACCACAGGCAGTTTTGTAGACAGTTTCCTTTGCTTCATAAGTCCATCTCTGTGCCCAAACCAGATGCTTCCAGTGCCTCAGCTCCTCTCTCTTGCCCAGTCACAAGGATTAGTACCTCTCCCCCTTTTTAAAAAGCTCTCAGGGTCTCCAAATGCCCACCAGGAGAAGTCCAAATGCCACCCAAAACCTCAGTGCCTTGCATGGCACAGTCTATTGAGTTCCAAGTTGTACCACAGTAGAACACCCATCCCTGAAACATATGACAGAGTTTACCAAGAATGAGAACCTTTTCAGGTGAAAATATATGACATCCATAAAAATAAATGATCACATGTCTTTAAGGTAGTTGAAAGAAAAGTGCCTTGTCTATGAAAAAATACCTAATATTTACTGAACATTTAATATGTGCCTAGGACTGTCCTAGCTCTTTGCATATAGTACTTCATTTAATCTTTTCATGATGACTCTATGAAGTACATATTGTTATCATTTTACAGGAAACTGAGTCACAGGGAGAGAAACAACTGGTCCAAGGTTATGCAGGTAATATCTGGTAGAGCTGAGATTCAAGTTCAGGCAGTCTGACTCCACTACATTATTAACAATTGCTCTCTGCATAGAGTACCGGGGCTGGAAAACAGACTTAACTTCCAGGAGAACTGCCAAGGTACATTGAGAAGAACCAGAAGTCCTGTGAACCACAAAAGAGAGAACCTAGAGAGTGTGCCCCCGACGTCAATCTTTAAAGCGAGAGCAGATGCATTTAAGAAGAATGGTAATTGTATCTGCTCACATTTGTACACTTAAAAAATTCTCCACATTGTTTGTTCTGAGGCATCATTCATGGTGAATTCTGCTTACTGAGGTAAAGGCATTCATTCACCCCGATTATATAAATAGAGTAACAAAAGATCTGCTTAATGAAGCTCATTATAAACTATGCAAAATCTCTTTTTTTCTCCCTGAAATAAGTTAAACATACCACTTGTCAGCTCATCTCTCTATAGGGCACTAAATATTTCCAGAACTCTGTGTAAGAGTACTGTCAAGTGCAAAACAACTTTGCAAATAAAAATTGCCTGTCCACTCTTCGTAACTCTGCAGTGGAACTTCCCACCATTGCACTAAGTTGTTTGCATATTCAAGGACTTCTTCCAGCAGCCTGTCAGTACTCAACGGACACCCACTCTGGATATAATGGTTTTACGTATTATTTGGACCCAACTGTATACCTGTTTAGTTCATTGAAAACACTGTTACTAGTGCATATGTTTCAGCAATCCTTTGAATCATATGTAAAGGTAAGAGTTGAAAGAAATGCCACCATTATTTTGAGAAACTCAGTGTATGATCTACCTCGTAAAATATATGGCCTTCAATATCATTAACCACTGGCTTAAAGCATTCAGGAAAAATAATCCCTAAGGAGGCATTGGCACTTGAGAGCTGGGGAAGATTTTGGTCTGACCTCTGACCTCCCTGGTTCGGGAAGAACAGTTCTCTATTGCTACTATGACTTTGGGTTTTGACCACCTTTAAAAAGCAATTCACAAAGTAAAAGGTGAATAGGAGATTTTTCAACAAACTAAAAAGCAATTCATGATGTTAAAGGTGAATAGATGTTTTGTTAAAAAATCCCAATAAAAATAAAGATTAAAAGTTGTAAAGTAGAAATGGATTTTCAACAGAAGATAAAAGGCTACAGCCAATGAGCTAAAAGGTTATACTTTTTAATATAAAAAAAAGGTTAAAGTAAAAGGCCGAAACCCATGAGATGAAACATTTAAAATAACCAAGTAGATTTCATGAAGGGTCAAGTGTAGAGGCACTTAAAAATGAAAACCGCACTAAGAAAAGAAAACAATAAGGAAACATGATACCTCTAAAATGAGAAAGCAGAGAAGAGGGTGGAAGGAAGAATTAAAGGGGGAAATACCTAGTCAGAGGAAGTGTTGGATGTCAGAGAAGGAGAGTGTCACCAGGCTGCGTCATTAGACACCGGGACACAGAGCCTTCCCAAACTGTGTGCTGTTATTCAAAGCCTTGAATCCCACCCAGGTCCCAGGCAGAGCAACTGGGAACCTTTAAGATCACACAATCCCCTTCCAACAAGGAACAGACACCCTCCAAGTCACTGCTGGCTCCACTTGATGGGCTGTGGGCAAGCCTGGGTTTTTAGTCAGAAAAACCCCAAGTTCTGTTCCACTCTTTGCCTTATTGACTGTGTGACTTTTCTCAAGCTCACTGACTCCCGGTAGCTTATCTAAATTGTAAAATTGATAAATGACAACTTACCAATTTTCTGTATCTTATTAATAATAGCATTTGTACCTCATTAGGAGTATTTTTGTTATTTTGCTTGTAGAGGTAGTTCCTGCTAAAAAACACTGAGCAGTTCCCAGATGGGTCTCACTTAATCCCCCCACCCATCAACAGTCCTATTACTTGTCCTCGAGGGGAGTCCAAAACATCACCCAGGACTCCCATGTGTCCACAGCGTTTCCAGCCAGAGAGTTACGGAGGTGTCTGCCATCTGTGGCTTCTGTGTAGGTAGCTCACTGCTGTGACGTTCGAGTTCCAGCCCTCTACAGAAAGGATGGTGGGCCACGGTGGGGGAAAAGCACAGTTAAAGGAGGCAGAGTAAATTCTCCTGGCTTGGACTTGGCCTTGGACATGCTATAGAATTCTTATGTCGGATATTGAAATGCTGACTAAATTATTCCCTTTTCAACATTTTAGACTCTACAACATATGCACATTTTCTGTTCAATGCATTTGACACAGACCACAATGGAGCAGTGAGTTTTGAGGTAAGTCATTGAGGTTTTTCTTTAATGTGACTTGATTTTAGACACTGAAAGGGATGTCTTTTTAGTTAGAAAATTTGGGCTTGGTCTTTAACTTTTGCTTTGCTTTTTGAGATTTTTATTCTTTTTCATTATTATTATGGTAAGAACACTCAACATGAGATCTACCCTCCTAACAAATATTTTAGTAAACAATGCATTGTTATTAACTGCAGGCACAATGTTATAGAGCAGATCTCTAGAGCTTACTGACCTTGCTTGACTGAAACTGTTTATGCCCATTGACTAGTAACTCTCCACTTCTCTGTCCCCTAACCTCTGGAAATCACCATTCCACTCTTTGGTTATATAAATTCGACTATTTTAGTAATGAACTATAGAAATGATCCCTGACTATTTTAGTATTTCCATTAAGTGGAATCATGTAGTATTTGTGTTTCTATGCCTTATTTCATTTAGCATGTTCTCAAGGTTCATCCACGCTGTTGCATGTTGCAGAATTTCCTTTTTCTTTTAAAAGATGAATGGCGTTGCATTGTATGTATACACCACCTTTTCTTTATCCATTTATCTATCCATGGGCATTTCACTGTTTCTCCATCTTGGCTAATGTGGATAGAGCTGCAGTGAAGATGAGAGGGAAATTTCAGATCCCTACTCCAATTCTTTTGGATAAATTTTAAGAAATGGGATTGCTGGATCATATGATTGTTCTGTTTTTAATTTGTTGAAGAACTTCCACACTATTTTCCAAAGTGGCTGTACCATTTTGCATCCCTACCAACTGTGTGCAATTTTCCAAATCCTCCATGTCTTCATCAACACTTGCCATCTTTCAGTGTTTTGATAATAGGCACCCCGACAGGTAACATAGGATGGTGGTTTTGATTTGCATTTCACTGATGACTAGTGACACTGAACACTTACTTAATATACCTATTGGCCACTTACCTACCTTATTCAGAGAAATAAGTACCTGTTCAAGTCCTCAGCCCATTTTTTAAATTGGGTTACCAGACTTTTTGTTTACTATTGAGTTATAGGAGTTCCTTATATATTTTGGAGATAACCCATGATCAGATACAGGGTGTATAAATCTTTTCTCCCATTCTATAAGTTGCCTTTTCACTGTTTTCTTCTTTACTGAACAGACACTTTTTCGTATGATGTAATTCAACTTTTTTATTTTTTATTTTATATTTTTAAAGATTTTATTTATTTATTTTTAGGCAGAGGGAAAGGAAGGGAGAAAGAGCAACATCAGTGTGTGGTTGCTTTTCTCATGCTCCCTACTGGGGACCTGGCCTGCAACCCAGGCATGTGCCCTGACTGGGAAACTAACAGATGACCCTCTGGTTCGCAAGCCGGTGCTCAGTCCACTGAGCCACACCAGCCAGGGCTCAAGTTTTTTATTTATTTGTTTGTTGCCTGTGCTTTTGGTGTCACATCCATGAAATCACTGCCAATTCCAATGTCACGATGTTTCCTCCCATATTTACTTCCTCCCATATTTAGTCAGGAGAAGTTTTATGATTTCAGGTCTTAATCTGTTTTAAGAAATAATTGTGTACAGTGTAAGGTAAGGGTCCAATTTCATTCTTTTGGACAGCTGGCAATCACCATTCCACTCTTTGACTATAGAAATGATCCCTGACTGTTTTAGATACTTCACATAAGTGGAATTGTGCAGTATTTGTTTTTCCATGATGCCTTATTTCATTTAGCATGGATTCATCCACGCTGTCCTTCATTCGTTCTTCTTTCATTTTTCCTAACCCCATTTGTTGAACAAACTATCCTTTCTCTTTCCCCATTGTGTATTCTTGGCACCTGTATCAAAAATCAGTTGACTATATATATTTCTGAGGTCCCTAGTCTGTTCCATTGGTTACATGTTTACCTTTATGCCAGTACCATATGGTTTTGATTACTATAACTTTGTAATATATTTTAAAATCAGGAAGTATGATGCCTTAGTAGAAGCTATATGAATGGCTTAGGGCCATTACAAATAATAATAAGGGTTACTTGAACACAAGCAATGCAATACTGTAACAGTCAATCTGATAACAAAGACTGTGACTAGGCGACCAAGGAGTGGGGAGTGTCTACAGGGTGCAGGCACTGGACAAAAGGATTATTTGTGTCCCAGGCAGATGGAGCAGGACCTCACAAGATTTTCTCACCCTACTCAGAATGACATGAAATATTTAAAAAATAAATGGTTTATTCTTGAATTTTTCATTTCATATTTCTAGGTTGTGATTGACCATTGGTAACTGAAACCAAGGAAAACAAAACTGTGGATAAGGGTGGGGACTACTATAGCTGCTATTTATTCCAAGAGTCCAGGCAGGAGCTGATGATAGCCTGAACTATAATTAGGGTCACTGAAGATGAAAAAGGGGGCAGATCAAGAAATATTAAAATTGGTGGAATTCTATTATGAGACAACCTGTCATGTTGAGGGGGTGAAGTTCATGTATTCATGGCCAGCTGCCTGGAAGAAGGGCTTTTTAAAGTCAGGATGAGAAAAGGCACAGCCATCTGAGATGTCCATCAGCAGCCACAAGGGCAGGGTCACGAGGGTGGCAAAGTGCCTCCTCTTGCGTGCAAGGTGCTCCGGAAGACAGAATGCTACTAAAATGAAGAATCTGGGCCAGGAGCTTCAACGTGTCCTCTCACATAACTTAACTAAGAAATGTCAACAAGAAGAGAAGAAGCTGGCAGTGGCTGAGCAGGAGGTGTGGACTGAGAAGACTGCAGAGGTCAAGGCCAGGGCAGTGGGCTGGATCGCAGATGTGGTAGCAGCAGTTAGTGGGGGGACCAAGGGACATGTGAGAGTGTCCCAGGTTCCAGGTGTCCACTGGTGGCAGCTGACCATCACCCCATGATAATGTTGTATTAGCATTTGCTTCATTTTACCTACAAGATTAATTCTATTGGAGCCTTGGGGTAGCTACGCTATAGAAACCAAAGTTTCCAGTTAAGTTCATGAAATCATTTGTAGCTCATTTGCAGAGAATGAGTGAGGTGAAAACTACCAGTGATTTCATTACTGGAAATTACTTATCTGACAGAAACGTACCATCAATTACCTATAGCACGTTGCATTTAATTTCACATGTAAATTTAGTCTAGTGTTAATGATACAAGGTCTGCATAACGTTGTTATTTTCACATTTACGTAAAATTCTGGTAATTATGATGAATGTTGATTGTAATTTGGGAAATTAGTTGTAATGGCTATATACTATGAGCATGCGGGTAAATGTCTTTTAAAGGCAAACAAATGACTAAATTAATAAATGTTATATTAAAATCAGATTTAACACTAGGCTATTGTAGTTATTTTTCTATGTTGATTCGCTCCCTGGAAGGTCTCTAGAGATCAAAGTGATTAGCAACGAACACATTTTGAGTAGCAACAGCATCTTGAGAGGTGCAGCAGAGAACACTCTACCTCGCAATAAAAGGAGATGGACTTTTCTGCTTAATTTGCTTGACGCCTGAAGGACAGAGTGAATGAAACAGGAGGGGGCCTGGGTCCAGAAATGACTGACTCTGAACCCCACTTTGCTCCCAAGTGGCTGCGAGACCCTGGGCTGAGGGCTGAGACCCTCTGGGCCTCAGCATTCAGCTCTGTAAACCATCAGCAAGCAAAGCTACTGCACACAATAATGTGAGAATGAACAAGGAATCCTGTCAGTCAAAGGCTTGGCTCTGCACCTGGCAGAAAATGCATGTTCAATATTTATTAGACATTAACCATAGCAGTGATTACATTGGAGATTATGCTATCGAAGCCAGTGAATAGTGACATTGGTCATCTTATTAAACAGCCATCTCATATCATTGGGCATATTCAAGAGAATGCTGAGGGGTTGCTCGGGCTGCAATGCCCTGAAAGACAGCCCTGCATCTGATTATATAATAAGCTTTGAATGTGTATCAGTCACTGCACTGTGTGTTTACAATTAGCATGAACAATAACAACAGGTACACACAGTAACACTAACTGACCCTTCTTTTGCACTCACTCTGAGGCCGGCCTTTTGCTGAGGGAATTACATATACTAATTTAATCTTCCTAAGTACTATTATCTCCTAGTTAGCAAATGAATCACAGAGGATTTAAGTAAGCTGGCTGAGGCCACACAGGAAGCAGGAGAACCACAATTCAAACTCAGGCCGTCTGGCCACAGAGTGGAGCTCCCCGCCCCTGTGCCACCTTGCCCGTGTGGTGGGTACAGATCTGCAGCCAGGTCTGAAGTCCACAGAGCCAGTGGGTTTTGCCATTCAGAGTCCTGCAGATTCAGAAAGGGAAAGCCGTACATGTACTCTAACATCTGCAGCAGGGTCTGCAGCTTGCTACAGTGAAATGTGTCATGTCTGTGCAGGAAAGACACGACAGATGATAACTGTGGTAGAGACTGCTCCTGATCACTAGTGTCCTGGTGCTGCACTCCGTGGTCACATGACCAGGCCATAATCCCCACCTGTCCTGCAGTCAGACGGAGCCATGACTGAGTTTTTACCCAGCTGATGCGGGTGGGGGTGACCAGATCCCCTCCCTCTATCTTTCCATCTGTGGAGCCTGTGAGGTCACATATTTTAGTTAGTCTCACACCACAGTGGAGGGAGCCTGGATCTCTGAACCACTGTGTGGAAGGGAGCCCCTCCTCACTCATGTGTCACTGTTTGTGGGTGATGTTGCATCCGCCGTCACGAGAAACAGAGGTTCGGAGACTTTCAGAATTTTCAAGATGTTACTTTATTGGCCAAGTTTTACCTGCGCAGGGGTGAGCTCTCTGAGTGTCCGAGGACACTATGCTCAGGAGAGCTGCAGATGAGAACTGCGTCCTGGCGCTTACAGCTATGTCCTTATATAGGGGTATGCAAGCAAGCTTTGAACAGAAGCAGATGCGGCTGTTAGCTATTGGCTAGCTCTAAACAGCTGATTGCCATTGGCTTATTAGGGAAATTGGCAGTTAGCCCTTTTA